ACGGATACCACCGGGCCCCCCCGGCGCCCAAGCCGTCCCCTCAGCCGATGCCGGCCTCGTATGCCACGGCGTCCTCCTCAGCCGGGCCCCCCTTCAGCGTCCAGGTGAAAGTGGCCAAGCCGGTGGTGGGCTACAACCAGCCCAGGCGCAGGGCCGAGCCAGCCTACGGGCCCCCCTCCCCCCAGCTGGGATATGGGGCGAAGCCTCCCCCGCAATACGCCTCCGAACCGGGGTCTCGGGCCCGCCCCCACGAGGCCGAGCCTTGGTATCCAGAACCGCCCTCCTACGGCCGGAGGCTGGGTGAGGGGGACTTCTACACCGGCCCTGCAGGGCAGGCCAGGCTGGGGGCGCCACTGGGCCAGTACCAGGCTGGACTGGTGAAAGCCGGGAAGGACGAGTTGGCTGCACCCCAGATTCCTGCCGGCACTGGGGGGCTGAGGTTTCCCCATCAGGTAATAATCGCTCTTGGGGGGAAGCGGGACGGAAGGTGGGGGGGTGTTCTGGAGAAGGGGCTTCCCAGCAGGATTTTCTCCTCCACCTTCCCCAACCTGGCACTACCTGGTTGCGATGATGGATCTGCAGGAAAGAGGGGACGTTCCGAGACCCACAACGCCAGTGGGTCCGATTCCAGACCAGAGGGATCCCTCTTGAGGCATCCCGCTCTTCTCGGGAACCTGCGGGTGGGGGGATACGACCCAGATGGTCAGCACAGGAGGCCTTGTGGCTTAAATTCCCCCACGCCGGAGGAAGTGGCTGGCAGAGCAGGGGCAGCATTCTGCCCATGCTCAGGAGCCTTCATGGCGCCCTGCTTTTTTTACGTAAAACCCAGGTGAAGCTCACCGGCTGTCCAATTTTGGCACTGCCGGGACCAGCATTTCTCCAGTCTTCCCTCTCTTTCTCACAGCCTCCCCCATGCCGCCCAGAAGAGGAGTTGGACCGACTTACGAAGAAACTTATCTACGACTTGAACAATCCTCCAACTGCAGAATATTTTGGTGGGTTTCCGATCCTTAGAAATTAGTTTTTAAAGGTACAGAGATGGCCACCGGGCAAGGGTTTGAAATGGAGCCTCTCTGTTCATGAGCAGTCTATCTTGAAATGCAATGAGGAAGCTCCGTTTGGCTTCCTCTCCTGCTGTTTGAGATTCCATCGGATCCTTCGGATTTGGAAGTGGGTGGCCCTTGGCCTGGCTCGGCTCGGGTGGAATTTTTGAGACGGTTCTTGCGTATTTCCTGTTGCTCTGTGAAAATCGAGAATATGGCTCTTGCTCCTGACCCCTGTGCTTGCAGGCCGCTGCGCTCAGTGCGGGGAGAATGTGGTGGGCGATGGCACCGGCTGCGTGGCCATGGACCAAGTCT